GGTACTGATTGTGTACTTGGAAAGTATCAAGATTAGTTAAAAAATAATTAGTTAAAATAAAATTCTGTTCTTTTGTTCACTTAATGCTACTAAAAGAACTAGAGAAACAGATTTTTTTAAAGTGCAGATGCAAAAATGGTTAAAGGAAATAAAATTTTTAAATAGAATAAAGGAAACAAACATAAAATGGGGGAGAAGAGGAAGATCTGTGAATACCGAAAATATCTTAATGGAACATATGGCACCGCCCCCCACAGAATGTGAGAATACTACCTCATGCAGGCTTTGGCAATGTTGGGGAGTTTATCTATAGAGAAAGAATTTGGTAAGCAAATTAAGAGAAGTACAAGGTAAATTTTTAATTAATTGAGAATAAACTACCTCGTGTATTTTAGCACCATCCATATGTGAACAAGCAGCAGTGACTTAATTAGAATTAAATCTTAGAGTTTCATTAAAGCAAACTAATGGCCCTCTCTACTGACAAATATTCTTACCTCTTGGTTTAAGTAATGACATATGAAAATATTCTATGAATTAACTAATCAGATCACCTCTTTTTCAATAAAAATTAATGTGTTATAATATTTCTGAGTTTCAGAAACTATTGCCATTGGAAAACATTTTGGAAAATATGTAAAATTAAGTATTTAGTCATTAAAATATAGCTGAAGAAATAATTAAATGCCAATCTTTTACCTATCAAACTGGCAAAAAATATTTTAATAACATCAACTATGAGGTAAAGCCCAAGGACACTGACAATCTCATATGATGGGGTTGCCAGTGTAAATTGGTACAACTGTCTGAAGAGGTGGGCTTTACACATCACTAGTATTTTTATGTAAGAGTTTTGGTAGCAATATTTATTTTAAAAATCTTTAAAATATTAATATCTTTATCTTAGCAATCTTAAGTCTGAGAATTTACCCTAAGGAAATAACCAGAAATGTATGTGCAATAATAATGATAAGAAAATATAACCACTGTACTTTATTAACACATATTATATTCCAAGACATTGTGTAATACTTTATATAAATGACCATTTCATTTAATTCTTATAATAAGCCTATGAGGCAGCTATTAAAAATATTTTCATTTTATAGATAAGAAAACAGGAGCTTATAGGTTATGTGACTATGAGAACTGATAAGTGTGGTGGAGCTGGGATTTCAAATTCCAATCTGTTTAAAAGTTAAGCCCAAATTCTCTGTCAGTAAAACATGTTAGTCTAAGAAAAATCTAGTAAGAAAATGGGGGTGGTAATTTCCTTAGTTTGGTAGTTCTACATAGTATAATTTATAATTGTGTAACCACCTAAATGTTCAACAAAAAGGGAAAGTTTAAATGGATATCATACAGCTGTTAGTTTAACATAATATTAAGATACATTTACTGATATTGAAAAGAGGTTGTAATATATTAAGTGAAAAAAGCAGGTTTAAAACAGTATGTCCAAATGTGATCCCCCATACATTATGTGTGTGCATGTGTGTCTGAGTAGAGAAGAAACCAAAGGACAAATATAGAGTCTTTTTTCTTTTCTTCTATGTTCTTTTCTGCATTTTCTAAATTATTTTTTAATTAGGAAAGGCTACATTTTTGGGGGAGTGGGGAAGGGAATCATTTAAAAGGAAAGAAATGCCTATATAAAGAATTCATACAACTCAAAACCAAAAAAAACAAACAATCCAATTAAAAAATGTACAGAAGACCTGAACATTTTTCCAAAGAATATATACAGATGGCCAACAGGCGCATGAAAAGATGCTCCACATCACTAATCATCAGGGAAATGCAAAGCAAAACCACAATGAGTTATCACCTCACACCAGTCAGAATGGCCACTATCCAAAAGACAAGAAATAACAAGTGCTGGTAAAGCTTTGGAGAAAAAGAAACCCTCCTACACTGTTGATGGTAACATTTTAACAAAATGTTAAAAATAGAAATACCAATATATAATTGAGCAATTCTACTCAGTATTTACTCAAAATAAAAATGAAAACACTAACTGGAAAAGATAAATGCATCTGTATGTTCATTGCAGCATTATTTACAATAGCCAAGATATGGAAGCAGCCTAATGATAGATGAATGGATAAGGATGTGGTATGTATACAATGGAATATTACTCAGCTATAGAAGAATGAAATCTTGCCATTTGCAACAAAATGGGTGGACCTAGAGGGTATTGTGCTAAGTGAAATAAGTAAGACAGAGAAAGACAAGTAGCATATGATTTGACTTATATGTAGAATCTAAAAAACAAAAGTACAAACAAAATAAAATGGAAACAGACTCATAGATACAGAGAATAAACTGATGGTTGCCAGAGAGGAAGGGGGTGAGGAGGGGAACAGCTGAAATAGGTGAAAGGGGATTAAGAGGTACAAACTTCCAGTTATAGAATAAATTAATCACAGGGATGTAAAGTACAACATAGGGAACATACTCAATTAAATTGCAATAACTTGGTTTGGTGAGATGATAACTATACTTATCATGGTGAGCATTCTGTAATGCATATAAATGTCAAATCACTATGTTGTATACCTGAAACTAACATAATATTGTATATCAAGTATACTTCAATTTTAAAGGAAGGAAGAAATGTCCTCTGCAGAATGATAATAAGTTATAAATTATCTGTGCTCCAAAAAAAAAAAAAATGGTATCCTCACACTTAAAATGAGGAGAAGACAACACTGGTGGGAGGTAGACTAGAACTACTAAGGAATGGCATTTATATTTCATTTGCAAAAGCAACCTGGAAGACTTAGCACCTTTAGACTGGTTTGAGCCCTCAGGCTTTTGTCAACCTATCATTAGGCAACAATGTGAAAACTATTTGCAGGCAAAGATTTTGCAATATTCCTAATATATTTCTAAGATACCTATGCTTCATTCTTTTCTCTGTTGTATACTTTAGTTACAGGGAATAATATTTTTCCCTAAGGAAAACCAAAAGTCTCATCTGAATTTATTATACTGCTGATGCTGGCATAATTTTTGTAACTTTAAGGATGCATGGATGATACAGTGAATCATGAATCAAAACAATTTTGAATAAGCTTGTATACACACTTATTTTTATATTCCTTCTACTCATCTAAAACTCTACCTTGAAAGGCTTCAGCAATTTAAAGATTAATCCTAAGTTATTAAGCCATTAATTTAACCATTTAAGCCTCTAAAGTCACTACACACTACCTTCCCCCCTCAAGTCAATTTGCAAGAGATTAAAATAATAAAAAAGATAATATCTTACACTTACAAAGTAGCTTTGATCTGCAGGAGCCTAAAGTACTTTTTAAAAACTTTATAGAAAAAGCAGGACCATCCACCCACATCTCAGAGTACATCTGAGGTAGAAGCTGGCAGCTGGTGAAAAGCAATGGAGTAATTTACCATCTGCCCAGGAGGCGATGGCTTTTGAGCAAGTACAAGGAATAGATGAAGCTAGGGAAACAAATAGAATAAGCTGTTCCATTAAGTGTTATATTCAATGGCCACAGACTCCAAGGGCTATTACTTATATTTTCACCAGAAGAAGTCATATAAGCGTTCCCTTTAGAGGGGAAAAAACAAAAACAATCTGAGAAAAGCAACCCCAACCTACAATACATGGTCCTGGTGATTCTGCCCAGATTTTCCTGGGAAGAACAGACACTAGTAGTTGAACCTCAGACACAGAATAAACTATGACATTTACGTTCTTTTTGTGTCTGGTAACATTTCCCTCTCTTCCATACTCAATTGCAAAGGTCTTTATACACAGTATTTCTCTTGACATTTCAGTCTAGAGGACTAGGGATCCTGCTCCAACCTCTGCCTCCTCCATCCATTTCAAGCACCCTACAGTTTTCTGCCACCTGCAGACAAGAGACTAACTTCTCAAGCTTATATTTTTTTTGGAGTCTGCTTCTTTTCAAATATATTTTTCCTCTTCAGTCTCTTCCCTAAAGAAAAACTGACTGAAGTAATTCTACCCTACATCTTTATAAAGCAAGTAAAAGAACACCTGAGCTATCTTTACTCAGTAGCACTCCAATTCTCAAGACTTTTTCCCGGATTCTGATTTTCTCACATCTCTTTAACTTACAGTCAGTTCTTATTTACAAAAGATCAAGCAGGAAAAAAAGGATATAAGTAAAAAGAAATACTTCAGGTGAATATAAAAAATAATTTCTGCACTGGGAGTACACAAAATCAGAATATCAGTGGAAACAATCGCAAGTGAGAGGAAATAGCCATTAAGTCTTCATTATTGATTTTTGTTGTTGTTTTTGTTTTTTAAAAAGCAGCCACCAAATGTCTTAGATACTTTTCATGGCACTTGCTTGAATGTAGAGCCATGGCCAGATGATCTAGAGTAGTTTCAGCTCTGGGATTCTATTCTGTTGTTCTAATGTTCACTGATGGTTCAAAGCAGCCATATTAAGAAGGTGACACGTTGCATTTGGAGACAGGAAGAAGGATGAGGATGGCACTAAATTGCCAAGCAGACTCTGACTATTACTTAATATACCACCATCCTTTGTATGAGTTTTGAGAAATCTATCTGATGATAAACCTCTGTTCTTTCCAAAACTATACAGTCAACTTAAGTGACCCCAAGCAGTTTATTCATTTAAATAAATAAAAAAAAATATTCTAAATGAATTTACTCCACTCTACTCTTTCACTCAATTGATACAAACTAAAGAAATGAAAATTAATTGTAGTAAGTATTAAACAAAACATAATTTAACTTTGTGATACATTTTTATTAGAGTAATAAAAGTGTATCACAAAGTTAAATATATCTAAAACATCATTGTTCCCTCCCAAATTCTGCTGATAATTTAGTTCCACTTAAGAACATAGTCGCTATGGCTTTTACATATATACATGTACAAAGATAGATATATATGTACTTGTGTACACACACACACACACACACAGACATACACATCTCGGATAGGAAATTAAAATGAAAGTAAAAATCTTGATACCTTCTTCATGGCCTGACACTTGGCTGTCTCAGAAAAGCCAATCATCTTATCAGGAGAACAGATCTTGATGAAGGGGAAGTTGGATTCCTCTGCAATCTTTGCAGCTAAAGCAGTCTTCCCACTATGAGGAGGGCCTGCATAAAGATATGAGCTAGTCAGGGGAAAAAAGCCAACCTAAGCAAAGGGGAATAAAACAAGTTTAAACTTTTATCCACAATGTACTGAGGTCTCAACTAGTTGCTCATTAACATTTTCTGACACAATTTCAGGGCAGACGTGTTTTCTCTTATTTATTAGCAACTAAACTTTATGAACTGATTAGCATTTCTCAAAGGTATGATGAAACACATTCCTTCTTTCTTTCTCACACAGCCTATTCTTGCAAACTTTTTGCTAAATATATAAAATGCAAGGGTTTTGTTTCCAAAAAAAAAAAGAATGTATTCAAGTGCATATCAGTATTTACGCTATTAGTTCTTTCAAATCTATTGACTAACACAAAAATACAATCTTCTTAGGAAATGAAATTACGGGCAGGGAAAAGTTGCCTTAATAGGAGCAAATGTGACTTAAAAAGCTAGAATTCTAAAGACTTAGGCCTTCTCATAAAGGCAACCAAATCTACAAACTTACATGTATTTAGACATCTTCTCCCGTCTATATAACAGAGATGTGTCCCTCTTCACTCCATAAACCAACCAATCCTTCCTTCCCATCTTCTCAGGAACCTGACATTATTGACTGCACCCTCTTCCCTATATGTTCTATTTCTTCCTCTTCCGTGAAGCCTTTCCAACAGCATTTAAACATGCTCTAGTCTACCTGATAGTTTAATAAACAAAACAAAAACTCTTTCTGGATTTCAAGCCCCTTAACACTACTTTTTCTTCTCCTTTCAAAATGGGACTTCCCTAAATAATTACCTATGCTTGTTGCTTTCATTCTTCACCTTGCATCTGTCCTCTAACAAACCCAATGGCATCCATTCCCATTACATGGGACAGGCTCCCATCAAGGTCATCAATGACCTCCATACCACCACATCCAACAGACACTGTCTGTTGGCCCCTTAGGAATATTTGGTAACAACTGATGTGTCCCTCTTCTTTGTTTAAACATTTTTCTTGGCTTCTGTGATAGCACATTCTCTTTTCCTCCTCTTACCTCTCCAGTTACTCTTGCTCAGCCTCATTAGTCAATTCTTCCTGCTCTCCTTAGTCCTCTAGATTTCCTTTTCTTCTCAACCTATATCCTTTCTGTATGTGATCTCACCCACTCCATAGATTCAACAACAGCCTATATACTGATAACTCATGATGTGTATTACCAGCCAGACCTCCCTTCTGAGCAACAAACCCACATATCCAGGGATACTCAGCATTCCCAACTCAGTTATCCTAAAGGAACCTCAAACTCAACACGTCCAAAACTGAACTCATGATCTTTCTTCCTGAGGTCTGCTCCTCCACCAGGGTTCCCAATTTTAGTAAATAGCACTATTTACCAGGCCATATATACTAGAAACCTGGGGATCATGTTTGATACCTCTCTCCATATTCTATCTAGTTACTTAATATTTCTAAGTTTCAGCTTCCCCATCAACAAAATAGGGATAACAGCAGCATCCACCCTTATAGGATTGAAGTGGGTAAAAGGAAATAATAGGTGTAAAGTGCTGGTAAAGTGACTGGAAGTAGTAAGAATTCAAAATTATGTTACCTTAATTGTGATTAATGATTATTCAGTTGTAATAATAATAAAGCCTCTTCTATTCTTCTATTCTACCTCCAAAATATTTCTCAATTAGTCTATGCACCTCTATCTCTACTACTATTTTGTTACTTCAGGCCACAATCAGTTCTCATCAAGACTAGCGCACCTGCTTCTAACCATTGGTCTTTCCTATACTTTTTTTGCCAATCCATTTTCTACCAGAAAGTAGTATGTTCTGAAAATACAAATCTGATCATGTCACTGCCTAAAACCCTACATAGGCTTCCCATTGCTCTCAGATAGACTCTAAATCTTTAACATGGTCTAGGCTTTACATGAACTGACTCCTGTCTACTTCAGTCTCATGTCTAACCAATCTCTCTTCAGTTTCCATCTCCTTCCTGTACAGGACTTTTTCACATGCTGGATGCTTTACCTAGAACATGTCCATCTACTTTGGCCAGCTTCTTCTCATTCTTCAGGTCTTGGCTTGTTTCTCTTGAAGAACCCTTACCCCCAGACCTTTTGAAATAGTTCGATTTCCGTCACATGGACTCACTGAACTTTTCTGTTGTACTAATCATAAGCATAAATAAGTAACTGGTGAATAGATTGTCCTTCCATTTTTGTCTACTTGGGAAAATCCTAACTGATTCTTCTTCAAAGTCTACATTAAATACTACCTCTAGCTTTCCTGGACTACCCTCAGGTAAAATGATCCGTGTTCACACACACCTTTACACATATGCATTATATTTAGGAATTTGTTGATGCATCTTTTTTTATGACCAGACTGAATCCTGTGAATGTCTTTGTATACTCAACAACTAGTTCAATGCCTAAAACATTGTAGGTACTCAGTGAAAATTTAGTACTATGTACTATTATATAGTCTATTAAGTAACATAGACACTTAGATACAATTCTGTTAAGAAAATTAGCTGCATTCTATCCCAAGAGAAGTTGTATACAATATTGGTATACAGACAGGATTACTATTTTCAGATCATGGGCAGGTTTAGAGCTGAAAATAATTCATCTTTCTGGAATGTGCTAAATGGTTTTGTAAAAACACTTTTTTAAAAAAAATCTCAGTGCCATCTCATCATTCCTTCTCACCTTCCAAAAGGACGCTAACCAATGGTGTGCGGTCACTGTTTTTAGTCTGCTGAACCAGCAGCTCCCCATCTTCTAGAACTCGAGTAACTGGATCACCCCATTTGATGATACCATTCATAATGTAACTTGCATAATCCTCTTGATTTGTGCCAAAAGCCTATGGAGGAAATGGATAGTTAAAAGCATTTTGAGCATTAGTATTAAAAACTAAAATATTTAAAAGCATAAAAGGTAATAATCCCCATTCCCCACTCACTAAAAGTATTGAGCAATACCCCATATTAATGTAAAAAGCCTGGAAAGCAAAAAAAAAACTGTTTCATAATTTCTCATTTAACAGTGGGGGTGGAGGGAGCTGTTTTGAGTGACTTAATGGAATAAAACTGTATTCTAGGCTCAGATTCTATCAGAGCCCAAGTCCTCATAGTCCCTGAGAGAAGGTATATTCCAATGTCCTTGCTTCTGTAAGGAGTACAGGGGCTGTACCCTTCTGTTAAGAACAAAGAGAAAAGGAGATTATGGATTTAGAAATTAGAAACTGTTGGCTCAGCAGACAAAGATACTCTCCTAACACTGGCTATAGGCATCATGGATTAAAGTGGGAAATGAAATGGTAAAGAGAAGATGGTATCAGCTTGGTGGGAGGGGATATAAATTACATGGCACCAAGGTAAACATATATGTGTAAATGTAAGATTTAAAATGAGGTAGAAATGATCAGCTGTAATGAAAAATTGAAGGGTTAGGAAAAGGAAATAAAAACAATTACTATATATAATAATTTTATCTGTGCTCACTACATATTGGAGCTTAAATCACATCCTCTTCATTTTCAGCTTCTAATTTCAATTGTTAACTCCTACCAAACCAGCTGCCAAAACCAGTCAATAATTTTGGTACTTAAGTTACTTAAGTGAATTGCATTTTCATATGGTTAGCAGGAGAATTAAAGAGTAGGAAAACATAACCCAGTGTCATGTTAAGGTCATAGATATTGAGAATTTCAACTTTTAAAACTTATCACATCCCTCAAAAAGTCCATTTTTCATTACTTGTATGTATGGAATAATTTAAACAGTCCCTTAGAACTTGTACCTCACAGAGAGTTGTTCTTTGTAATACTGTCTCTAAACAATATATAGCAGTTTCATTACGCTATTACTTTGCCATGGAATCATTTTTTCAGACCACTCTTTGCCCCTGAACGCACTATCCTGAGTACAGAGGGAAGTCCTCATCGCCTGTCTGGATGTGGTAAATTCAGTGGCCCTGTAAAAAGTTATAAAGGAAGAGCTTAGTAAGTACTGACTGAAAGGCTGTTGTAGGAAATATATCGAGTGGCTGGCTTTAACTATTCTAAGTATACACTCCAAGCAGCTTTAAGATACCTGAACCAGGAAACAGTGACCTTCCCAGGCTACACAATATGTATGAGTCTTCCTTGCTTATCCTGTCACTTCATTTTTTTGTTTTATCCTCCAGATTCTTATAATAAATAAATGTAAGTTACTACTTACTTAGGTTATTTATCTTAGTTTTCCCTTCTTCATAGCCAAATTATTTGTCATTAAAAAAATCTTGGGATAGATCAGTTAAGCTGGGCTCTAATATTTTTGGTAAATATCATAAATGACAACAGCAAAAGCTAAAACCATTTCTATTGCTCCGTAATTGTGAAAGTCTTATTTTATATTTAAAAGTCACAATAGTCATAAAAATGTAGGCAGGGCTAAAACAAACTGATTTTCTTTAAAGGAGATATAACATAGGACTCCAAAGAATGGTTAACTTAAACATCAGTGGTTGTTTTATAGGAAAATGGATTAATGGCATCATAGTGTATTCTAAAGTTCCAATTGCAACTGTTGAGTTTTGAGTACATTTAAAGAAAATTGACACCTTTTTTTAAAGGGCACCTAGGAAGATTAATAGTGTCAGAGACTATAGCAGTTAGAGGAACTAGAGGCATTGACAAGAAAAAAGGATGCCTTGAGGAGGTTGGGAAAGGTAGAGAGAGAGAGGAAGATATCAGAGTTAATTTTAAATATCATAATAACTGACATATGGAGGATAGACTGAATTCAGGTTTCCATAGTAGCTTCACACTGCGTAAGAATCAAAGAGAAAACTAATTCTAGCTCAGTATAAAGTAAAAACTCATAATTAGAAAGTCTCAAAATTAACTGTCTGCCTTATAAGACGGTGAGCTTCCCATCAGAAATATTCATTAAGTATTGGTAAGTTAACCAGCCATCAGATTTAATGTATACATGTTTCTCTTATGGATACTTCCAGTACTGAGATTTTCTAATTTTTAAAAAATTACATATGATAAATCCATAAGTGCTTCCATAATACCGAGTAAAATGGCACTTATTTTTCTCCTGAATTATTATTAATTTTGGCTTATATATCACTGAATATTCATACTCACTGGTTTGATATCATTCTCCAAAGAAGCAAGGAAGTCTCCCCTTGTCACCTGTAGGCTCTCTGCTTTCTCCATGTCCACTTCTACTTTAGTACTGGCCTAGTCAGAAATGAAAACAAATGTAAGGACTTGTAAGATTTAAGAATATTTCCAGCCTAAGATATAATACCTAAGGATTTTAAAAGCATATTTTCACAGACAAAAAACACCTTTCTTAAATCCACAAACATATATACCCTTTGCCTGAGCAATTCCAGTTCTAGGAATTCATCCCAAAAAATATATTAACAAATGAGTGCTAAGTTATATGTACCAGGATATCTACTAAAGTAATTTGTAATAGCAGAAGACTGGAAGCAAATTAGAAGTCCACCAAAAGGGTACCAGTTGAGTAAGTTGTGTCACATCTGTACCAAAGAACACTGGACATTTCAAATACATTTCAAGAAGGAGAAAACATATACAGAGGGTCTCTAAGAACAGTGGTTACTGTCCTTGGCAGCATTTCAGAATAACCCCTGGAGCCTTTAAAGATACATGGACACCCAGCCCCACCTGCTTAAGGATTTTGATTTGATAGGTTAAGCAGAGGGTCCAGGCATTTATATTTTTATAAAGTGCCAGAGGTGAGATTCTGATGCTCAACTTGGTTTGTGAACCATTGTTCTAGGAGACCAAGGACCTACATACAACTTTAGTTTGTACTCATACTTTGTGCTTGAGAATCTAGGTGAGCCAGCTCCAAATATTCTGCTTACTGCACCTGGAGCTAACACAGAACAGACATCTGGAGAAGCATCAAGGCCTTTATCAGCACTTGGAGCTGCCTGGACGTGATGAGTGATTGATATACCAACACATTTTTTTAATGTGACTGGGCTCACTCCCAATAGCACAAGGCAAGTGAGTCTAACTTTTTAAATGGTACTACGGATTTTTAAAAAGTTATCTTCAAAAAAATCTGACTGTAAAACAAAAGTATGTTGAGCAATATCAACCTTCCATTGATTATAATAAAATATGAGTCATGTTCTTTTAGGAACAGACAGCTGGGACAAAATGACAGACATTTTTTAAAAGTCGGTCTTCTGGAATAAAAAGAGAACTGTATCAGAAAACTGAATCAAGATGGTAAACAGAACACATTTATGTCCCTTCCTGTGCCAAGCCCATGAAATGACAGAAAGTAAGAGAGAAAGGTTAAAAGGCATGGAAAAGATATCTAGAAATTTTAACATGGATCTAAGAGGAGTCTCAGAAGGAGAAAAAATAATGATAGAGAAAAAACAATAAAAGAAAAAAATAAATATTTCATAGCTGAAGAAAAATGTGTCTTTGTAGTTCAAAGGGTTTAATGAGTGTTGATCAGGATAAATGAAAAGAAACCTACACCTATCTAGACACACTGTTGTGAACTACAAGCACCAAAGGTGAAAAGCAAGTCCTAGAACTTTTTGAGAGACAAAAACAGGTTACCTGCAAGGGAATCATAATAAAACTGGCATGAAACCTCTCACTGGCAACACTATGTCTTCAAAAATACATCTGGCTATCTACCCTGGCTAGCAAAGGATTCTCATATGTACATATAGAGGCACAGGGATAGCATTATACGCATTTTCAAAAAAGTCCTATATACCTACTGTTTGAGGTACTGGAGACATAGCAGTATATAAAACAGACAAGGTCCCTGCCCTCATGAATCTTACATTTTAAATTATGTTGTAATATTCTAGAATACTGTGAATTTGTCCAAAATAATGAAGATGTACATATATATACTGACAGGATAATCTATCCAAGATGTATTATCAAGTGAAAAATATAAATTGCAGTACAATTCTATTAATATTTGCTTTTTAAAAAAAGCAAAAAAAGCATACATGTATATAAATGTAAATGTAAAGGAAACAAGACTACAAAGATATAATCCAAATGCTGGCTACCTCTGCAGAGGGAAAGAGAAGGGGTGTTAGAGACGGCCTTTCTCAATATTCCCTACGTATGTTGGCATCCTTGAGTCTTCTACAAAGATAAGGTATTCATGTACGACTTCTGGATTTTTAAAAAGAAAGTAACAAGTGACATTTAAATAGACAAATATTCTACTTAAATAAAGAGAATTAATTAGCATTTAAATTAATAGGGTTTTCATTGGCACATATTAGGCACTCAATAAATATTAATCATATATTTGACATTTCTCAGTTAAAGAAAAGAGAAATGGTGAACAGTAAACAAGCTTATCTATGAAAGAATTATGGTGCTCAGGTAATAATATATAAATCTCTATAGTGCTTTATAGTTTATAAAATATTTTTATATACATTATCTCATTTTATCATATCCATTAGCTCATTTTATCCTTATGCAAGCCTAAATTAAGGGCAAGTGTAATTTAATTAAGCATAGATATAGGATTTCCTTCCTAAGTAATCTTTTATGAAGGTTTTAAACTCAGATTAAAACTTTTTGACACATCTAAAGAGGCTCTACAAAATGTAAGCTCTCAGGTAACAGTGAAGAAGTGAGCTCTGACAGAATCATATTAAAATCCCAATGAAGCTACCAGCCTCATTTCAAATGACTTCCTCTTTTACTATAATGTTTTATATTTTTATTTCCTCTTACAGTGAAACATAATTCAAACGATCTATCATATAACATATGAAGGGAAAATGCTATCTTTCAGCATTTGCCAAAAAATGTAATAGATTCCAGGACTGAAACAGGTGTAAAATTTGTCTTTTTACTATTTAGAAAGGACTCACCCAATGAATTAAAAGTGAATTAAGATGGCTGGCAGAGTTACTTTTGAATGTTTTTAGGTACTCCAGGAATTTTAGAAGTTACCTAAATTGTAAACAATCAATATTCCAAATGTAAATTATTCTTACCTATTCAGTAAAATAAGTTTTCTAAGGACTTTTCTTAGCTAACTTTCACTATTTTATCAAAACTAGTAAAATCTTATTTTTAAAAATTTGATAAATCTGAAATTTACTCATTCAGAAAACCTCTCACCTGTCTGAATTAGTGTGATTTTTTTCCTGTATTTTATTTATAACAGCTAATCAATACAGAAGAGGCAGCATCTTTCAGTTTATATCTGCAGAAACTAATAAACTTGTATTTCAACACCAGCAAATATCAAGTGGTCACCCTTAAGTTTCATAACCTTTTAAATCTGACCTTTCAAAGTTTTTATCATTCCTCTTAAATTAAGGGTAGAATGACCCTAATTTATCAAAAGTTTACAGAAAATAAATAATTTTTATCAAAATTCCTCAAACATAAATCACATCTTTGATTCAGTTGTAAAGTGTGTATGTATGTGTGTGTGCCCTCTATTTCCTCACTATAGAGTACAGCAGAAGAAACTGGGTTATGAATCTTCTCTACTGAAGGAGAAATTCTTTCAAGATAAAAACAACCAAATACCACATAAATTTTAGTTGACCACAAACACGGATTCAAGTACAAATGACATGAACCTCAGCTGTTTATGAGTGGATTCTCCACTTGTTTCTGAAAAAAACACTTTAACAAGGAAGACTTGTTTAACTTAGTCCATCTGACTTTAAGCCTAAATCTTTTGAAATGGAGCAAAATAACACTAATAATGGATTTTTTATAACACAAAGAAAGAACATCAGAACAAACAGTTGAATGTTGCGGATGTTCTGAAGTTCTATACCAACTTTAGATCATAAATTTCAAGTTACTTATTCATCAGTCACTATTAGTAAAGCTATGAATATCTACAGCTATGAGAATATACTAAAACTGTATGCCTTCTGTTTAGCTGAGGAGGATTCTTGTTTGGAAATAAATGTTAAGTTCTTCAAAGTGCCAACATAGTCTCTTGTATTAGACATTCCATAGATACTGTAAAAAATTAAAAGCTGTTTGGTATAAAAGGTAATGATTAGAAGATCAAAAGATTATACATTACCTAAAGTTTAAAAGTAACCACATGAGAAAACTGAAAGAAAGAATGCCAACTATTCGCACTATTTCTTACTTGCAAATCTGGAGGATAATATATTCTGTACAGTGGTAACTAACATTTTAGCTGTACAATTAAAAAAAAACTGTAACTGCAAATAATCAACAAAAATCAGAAACTCAGATATTAAAAAAGATATATATAGTATTCTCTCTCATCAGCCAGTAACAAAAATGGAAATAACTAATATTTATATTGATTTCATTTGTACCAAAACCTGAGATAGGTATTTTCCCTTGACAGAAACAAAAAAGTGTAAGAATTGTAATGCACAACAACGACTATGAAATTTATGAGCTTTCCACCATTTCTCATTGTCTCCTGTGTAGATAAAGCACATACAGATGAAGTAGAAGAAAGCATGTTTCTTACTAAGAAAATGGCTTAGAGTGACATTTTGGGGTAGGATTATTGTGGTAAAAATGACAAATGACTAAATAGAAAACCAGTTGCCAATGTGTATGAAAAATCTGATAACTAGTAAACTAGTTATTGTGGGTTGTATCAAGAAGCACGGATGTGGTGTGAGATGAAACATCATACGGTGGGGAACAATTTTCACATCATTTTCACAATTTTTCCTGAAGTCCTGATCACTCCTTATGAAGACATTTCTTATAGCAAGAAAGGATGAATCAAGGAATGAACCCATTATACTACATTCCCACACTATCCAGACCTCTGGCATTCTTGAGGTAGAACAAAGTCACCTCCATTATGTACAAAAGTATGACTTATTGATAGAGCTTGATTCAGAATGTACATGTAAGTTTACTAATTTTAAAAATATTTACTAAATGCCTGCCATGTTCTCAAATATATAAACCTACTGGGGGTACTATGGGAGATTCAGACTGAATAAGAGATGGGCTTAAAGTCTAGAACAGGGGCTGATAAGCATTTTCTGTAAAGAACCAGACAGTAAATATCTTAGGCTTTGTGGGCCATGCAATCCCTGTTGCAAATACTCAACTATGCTGTTGTGGCATGAAAGCAGCCATAGATAATACATAAATGAATGGGTATGGTTGTGTTCTGAAAAAAACTTTATTTATAAAAACTGGTGGTTACCTGGATATGGCTCATGGGCCATAGTTTGCTGACCCTTGGTTTAGAACCATTAAAGGATGTGCCCAAATAACTAGAACTTACTCAGCCTAATTGTTCAGGTTTTTATTATTTCTTCCAAGAATTGTTATAAAAGTTCCCCTCATCTTGTGTTGCCAACTCCACTCCCCTAATACTTCACTCGACACAGCTGCCAGAGTGAGCTTATGTTTTAACACTATGCCACTACTATTCTTAAAACTCTTCAATAGCTTGCACTACTGATAGAAAAAAAGTCCCTACTCCTTAGCACAGTATAAAAGGCTCTTTGTGCTTCATCTCCTGCTTTAGTCTCCTGACTTATTCCCCACAATGTCTCTCTCTCTCCCCTCCCCTACTTTTCATGCTGAAGCAATACTAGATAACACACCATGCTATTTTGTGTCTCTGTTCCTTTCTGTATGTTGTTCCTTCTACCTAAAATGCCCTACCCCATGAAGAGACACATCCACCCAGAAATTCCTCTGTGAAGCATCCCTCACCCCACAGGTTGACCACACTTGACATCATTTCATTTTCTTACCTTGCATGTACTTTCTATTACTGCATCTGGAGGATTAAACTGTGAGCTGCTCAATGGTAGGCAGTTTACTTCTTTTCAGTTGTATCATTAACTCTGAGCACAAGGTCTGGCATATAGTAGGTGAGGAATAAATCTATTTTGAACCAAACTCAACTGAAGGTATCATAAATGATACATTACTATATCAAGAAGGAAGCTAATAAATCATTGTTGAAAGGAAGAATCAGAAAAGGTTGAAGAAAGTGGTGACATATGAACCAGGTACTGAAAAGATAAAACGTACAAGGTAAAGACTCTTAATGAGGCAAAAAAAAAAGTAGAGAAGTGAAAAAATGAATTAATGTCTGATGACCTGTGATTATTTCCGTTTGGCTAAAGTGTATGGAGAATAATTGGGAACACATCTGGGAGGGCCAGTTTAGGGTCAGATCTAGAGGAGCTAAAAGACCAGGCTAAGAAGTCTATGCTTCATTCTGAATGTTTCTGAGAGGCAGAATGATATAAAACAAGAAGATTAATCAAACATTAAGTGTGCAGAAACTGAAATACACTGCCAAGATAGAAATGACTAAATTTGAAAAGGAATTTAATATAGGACACAGGAGAGTGGCAGGAATCAAAGATAATCTTGAAGTTTTAAGACTGAGAAATTGGGATAAACAGAGAAACAGAAACAGGAAGGAAAGTAGTTTAAAAAAATGACAGGATAATTTAGTTTTGGAATATTAAATTTGGGGCCTGATAAATGATCCAGATGGAAGTATTTAGTATAAATCTGAAAGTGACTAAAAGATACTTTCCAAAGATGAGACATAAATCTGGGAGGACCTACCTACAGATAATAACTAAAACCTGAAGAGAAGGGATGGTAAAGGACCAAGAGTACTTCATTTACCAAACTTTATCAAAATAAAAGTATCCTGATATATATTCTACCATAGTATCAATAACATTATTGTACTAATTTGCAAATATGTCCATTTGCCTGACTCTAAATTCTTTGAAGAGATCATGCTTTATTATCTTTGTATCTCCAACTTACTTTTTAAAAAATAACAGGTATTCAGTATATTTGCTGAATTACTGCCATAGTTCTAGCATGTAGAAAATCTTACTAACAACTCTACACAGCACAAAGATTAAAAAATAAATTCTTCAAAATCTTCATCTTCACATTTGTGTCAAATGGTGGCAACCTAAGACAGAGGGGTTAATGGTAACCATGGAACAGATGCTACCATTATCTTTCTTTTTGCTACTCTTAAGATTCAGCAGTTGACAATTCCTATTTCTTTTACCATGTTTCTTCCATGTCAAAAGTCATCATTATAGTAGCCTGTGATAAGCTTGAAAGGAAAGAGAAAGAATAGTGACATGGTATTGACAGGATGGCAGACTCCTAATCTGTTAGTTGATTTTACTGACCTTTATGTGTCTGTTCATAGCAGTGGATTGTGCTGCTCGCACAAGACCCTCTAGTTCAGCACCGCTGAAATTCTTGGTCTCTACAGCCAGTTCTTTAATGTCTACATCAGCAGAGAGTAACTGATGTCCTCTCATTCTTGCTGTGTGTATGTGAAGGATTTGTAGTCGACCCTTCTCATCTGGTAAGCCTGATAAAATTGAAAATAAAACACATTTTTTCTTATAGGTACTCAAGCATATAAACATTTGCTTCTCATCATGTACAACTTCTCTAACAAACTTTTAACTTTTCTGACTTTGCTCCTGTTAATGAACTCTACCCACTCTCCCGGTCAGTGACAGTGCTCACCGATCTCCATTTTAACTTCCAGTCTTCCAGGTCGAAGGAGAGCCTCATCTATCAGATCTGGTCTGTTGGTCATTCCTGAGCACAGATGTTAAAAATGAAACAACATTCAAATTATCATAGTTCAAAAATAAGATGAAATGTCCCTTAAGTATATGTAAGAAAGATAATTTCCCTGACAAACTAAGAGGACACATTATAAAAGTCAAATAGAAAACCAAAGTAGATATCATTTTCTAATAATAATAAATAAGAAAAATATCATTTGTTCTTGAACTGGTCTATTGAAAATACCTGAAGACTTTGCTTTAGTAAATGAAATATAAATATAATGAAAACCTCAAATATTTAAAAAGAAAACTTAAGGCTCAGGGAGGGTAAGTATCCTACCAAAGGGAGACAGGGGCAATGTGAACATGATCTGCCTGACCCTCAAGTCTCTTCCTGTTTTTGTAGGCCAATGTTTTTCAACCTTCATAAATAGTAGGGGTTTCTCCCCCCTGCCCCCCAAAGTCGTCTTAAGAATAACCTCAGTACATAAAACAATTAAAAGAAGAAGTTATGATAGGGATGCATGACTGGAAGCTCGCTCCCCGGCCCTCACAGAACCTAAAGCACCTCTAAGGACTGTTGGAGGTGTGCAAGACCCAGTTTGAAGGCCACTGCATTACACTATGTTTCCCTTCTCATGTGTGAGCATGAAGTGTAAACCCATGAGTCACTAAAACCCATCTTTTATTTGTCCTATTAAACCAGACATTAAAATACTCAAATTCTTCAATACCACTTGATTCGAATCTGCAAACATTGGCAAAACGGTATAATTACAACACTACACAGATCTTAATTCAGAACCTGTGTCTAATGTTTTTGAAATCATAGTATTTTTTTTTTAAGCAAACATACCAATGACTAAGATGTTGTTCAGTTGCTCTACCCCATCAATTTTGGAGAGCAATTGGTTGACGACAGTGTCATGAACTCCTGTGCTACCAGCCATGCTCCCTCTCTGCTTGCAGATGGCATCAATTTCATCAAAAATGATGATGTGCAAACCACTGTTAGCACCAAGCTAGTAAGGAAGAAGTTACAGAATATTAAAGGTCGTAATTTGAATGTATTAACCAAACTAATCAGAAAAGCAGAACAATTGTTTCGAGATTGGCTTCATTTCATTTTGACTAATAAATACAGCAAGTATAATCATGGTTGCTGCCCTCCAAAAGGTGTTGGAACTGCATCTTCAGAATTCTGCAAACTGAAAACACATTCCAGAACCTCATATTTAATAGGTTCATTTAATAAAACAAAAATATACATTATATACTTATAGAAGTGAGTAGTTTGTCAAATAACTGGCATTTGTCTAATTATTGACGAGGCTGGCACTTTCTAAATCGTATTTTTTTTTTACCATTGATAATTTCTCTCATATTATTTGTTCATATCCTCTGCACATTTTCTATTAGGATTTAAGTTTTCCTTATTGATTTATTTTTTAAATTCTTTATATAATAATAATATTACTATATTTGTTATAAATAGTTTATCCCAGTTTGCCATTCACCTTTTTATTTATGGTATTTTTGACAAATGGAAGGGTTTTTAAAAATTTGATTTTACTGTTCAAATAGCCAACATAATTGTTATTTTTATGTTTTCCACTTTTATCCTTAAAATCCACCCCCTTACAGAGAGATGTTCACCTACATTTTCTCCTCTTTTAAATTTTTACTTCATATATAATTCTTTAATCTATCTGGAGTTTTATTTTTATATATGGTACAAGAGAAGAATCCAAGTAATTCCTCTTCAAATAATTAACTAACCGATCCAATACTGATAAATAATCCCTTCTTCGTTGATTGAAATGCCGTTTCTGTCGGGCTTCATATGTCTATGCATGGTAGATTGCTACTGGTCTGTGCCACTAGAGTACCGGGTTGGGCAAGCCCTTTCCCTGCACATACTACTCTTCTTTTTCCTAAGTGTCTTAGACACGTTCAACTGTATTAACTTCCAGATAAACATGAAAATCATTCTACCAGGTAAAACAACCTCTACCAATTAAATACAAAAAAGAAAAGAAAAAAATGAACAAAAAATCCAGTTTTGATTGAAATTAGATTAAATCTCTAAACTAGTTTAGCAAATACTAAAATCATTATAGCATATGCAGTTCTTAAGAAGAATGATATATCTCTATTATTCAAGTCACTTATATTTTCCAACAAAGTATAGTTTTTGTCATATAAATTCTTCCATAAAGATTTCTATTTGCCTTTTTTTGGTTGTGACTGTACATGAGTTTTTTCCTTTATATTTCAGAAATAGTACATAAGTATGAAGAAACTATATTAATTTTCATATATTTATTTTATATCTGGACACATTATTTTCTTATTTATAATGCCTAAGTTTTTAAAATTGATTCTCTTGAATTCTAGACAGACAATCATACCATCTACAAATACCATTTTGTGTTCTCCTTACTAATGGGTATACTTCTTTTTGGGTATGAGAAATTGTCCCTGAGCAAAGATATATAGGAGAAGGAAAGGGCCTAACATATAAGAATTCAGAAGCACACAGGGCCGCCTGAACAAAAGGCTCAGAGGCAATCTAGGCCTTATAGAAGGGAGAATAAAATTTACCCCATATGAGAGGAAGTTACTATAGTACAGGGACTAAAATCCAGAAGCAGGCCTTTCTATTGAAACAGGAAGATCACTAAAGGATATGCAAAAGCAGAATGTTCTTTGCATAAAATGATCTTAATCTTGACTTTAGCATGAAAAAGACAGTTACTGACAGTTACAAGGTCAGTGAGAAACAATGGTACATAAATGAGGTAAACAGAATCTGTAAGACAATTTTGCAGATGGAATGGTGATGACTAAAAAAGCAAGTCCTAGGTTTGGTTACTGTCTGCATGAGAAAGGGGGAAGCAATAGCAAAGATAAGAAATAACCTGGCAGTTATGATAAAGCTGCAGAAGGGAAAGGTGAAGGGAAGTTTTTAAAAGTTTCTACCATGGTATTATTAAAGTGTTAATAGGACATCTAATTAGTAATGTCCTTCATAGAATAAGATACACACACCTGCACAAAAGAGGATAAAAAGATTTGTAAGTCATCTACAAACAATAGAGTCTAGGAGTAAACTAGATTCTGTAAGAAGATGAATTGTACAATTAAGCTGGAGGGATATAAAAGCAAGAGATTCTGGGCTACAATACCACAAGACGCATAAAATAAACACAACGTGAAGAAAAGGGGAATCAAGAAAACACGACAAAACTTAAAGATGTAATGTTGCATCAGAAGTAGGAAAAAAAACAGTTCCAAAAATGACCTGAAGAAAATTAGACTGGGTCTAAAATAAACCTGAATATATATAGTGTTGTTTTTTAGTCAAAAAGAGATAAAACACTGTTATATCCAGCAATTTCACTCCTTGTTCATAACTGGCCCAACTCTGCTCATAATTGGCCCAAACTGGGAATAGATAAACTGTAGTACATCTATACCATGGATGGATAAACTGAAGTACATCTATACCACGGAACACTAAACAATAAAAAGGGATGTTTGACACATGTAACAGCTTGGATGAATCTCAAAGGCAATATGCCAAATGAAAGAAGCCAGTCTCAAAAGGTTACATATTACGATCCCATATATATGACATTCTCAAAACCATAGGGATGGAAAACAGATCAGTAGCTACCAGGAGTTATTTGCAAAGTGGCCAGAAATGGACAGCATGAGGGAATCTTGAGGGGTTATGTAAATGTTCTGTATCTAGATTTTGGTGGTAGTTACATGAAACTACATGTGCTAAAATTCATAAAACTGTATACCAGAAAACTCAATTTTACCTCATAATAATAAACAAAAAAGTTAATTTATAATACTTAAATTTTATTATTCATATTTGGAGTATTGTTTATTCTTTAATGCAATCCCATGCAAGATGACAGTCATATGCTCATCAAAGTTTCCAAAATTTAACTAGGTTTTTTTTCTGAACATTACCTACAACTTTTTCTCCTTCCACAAATGTTTTAAAAACTAAAGTCAAATCTGAAAAAAAAATGAATTTCTCAGTTTCATCATATTTACTGAACATAGGTCTGATAATAAATGATAGCTTTCTACTTAAAAAAAGTTCAACACCATAAACTATTCATCTTTCCATCTATAGAAAAGACAGAATGAAGAATTGGAACTACAACCTTAGTTTTGCCAACACTTCTACATATTAAGGGATTAATTCTTGCCATTTTCGGTGCAAAATAAGGACACACCTTTTTGTGACTGAAAAACTGTAAGATTCTACATTGTTTTCATATTTTTATTCAAAGTTGTCTGCAAATACAGCATGGAACAAAAGCTGGTATTATGTATGAATTTTGCTGTCAGTGTACTTTATATTGACACTGGAATCATGATTTCCTTCTCAGTCCAACGTCAAAAATCATTTCTGTGGAAGGGAAGCAAGCAACAACGAGAACACTGTGTTTGATTAAATAATCACAGGAGCAATCTGTCCTAAACATAATTCAGTACAATTCTGACCTTTTCAGAACCTTACTAATGTTGTGGCCTGTCAGCAGGTCCCTTCCCTAAGCAGTCAGTACAATAACATTAATTTTTACAGATGTGTTACTTAAATAAGGCAAGTTATTATTGCAATAAATTAGGAATCAGGTGAAGAAGATGTCAAGATTAATGTTCATGGATTAATATAACTGAATCATCAATAAATCCTTTGCCAGAGTTTAAATTTCCACAATGCAACCTTTAATTCGCTGGCTTCTAAGCTCTTTCTTACTATCTGCAAAGTCCTCCTCATAGAACACAGCCGATACTGTTGAGCCCCTGGCAACAGCCTTCAGAAATGGCTGTTCTATATTTAACTGGTTTGACCTATATGTAAGTGTTCATCTCTATCAGCCTGGACTGTCCACAATCACAAAGGTGATGCAGTTTTTTATTCTGTAATGCACATGTACCTTCCATGGGGTTATTAGCTGAGTATACCGAGCCATTTCCAGAAGAAAGGATTGAGGAACGTGTAATTGAAAGGGCTATCATTACTATCTACCTAGAAATTCTTTGCCAACTCAGTGTTATCATTAATAGTGTCATAGTTAATCTGTCTGCAAGTTTCAAAATAGCACCAAAGATACCTATGCAGCCAGCCATGTGTTAGCTATCAAAATAGATTTTATGTTTTTTTACAGGGCATTTTAACTATACCTAGTGTTTAATCCTCAGTATCCCATCAGGGCCCATTAGACACAAATTTCAGTTTTTAAGTTTCTTTATTGAGCAATTTTAACCATTTATAAAGATTGATATTTTATGACTTTTTTCTTAGAAGTCTTCCATAGAACAAAAAGGTGTATTTCAGAAAAATAGAATTAAACTAATTCTATCTTGCAATTATCATATGAGGTCCACTGGATACTTTTACAAATCTAAGAAATATTATGCTAATTCAACATTCTAGAAATTATGTCATCATTACTCATCAATTACTCCCAACTATACTAAAAAAAAGTAAAATAATTAGAATATGGAAGAGTGATGAACTTGGTTAGAAGAATGATGCAACAGTGAAATAAATGTCACTCTGACTTCATCCTGCAGTTTTCTTACTGCATTGCCTGAAGTATTATAATATACTTCAAGAAGGTGTAAGAAGAAATCTGGAGACACCACCCACTATCTCTGCTGCCTGATTTTGCCTTTAAGTGAACACACTTGAGAATTCCGATTTTTTTGTTCTGTGGCCATAATGATAAAGAAAAGAAAATTGACAGAGGAAGATATTTCACAACTATTGGACGAATCTGAAGATGAATGCAAAGAGTAATGAAGATGGTGAAATTGATCATTTGTAAGTAAAATCTCATACTCTGTACCTGCAGGTGATGGTATCCTACATAAATTTTCTCAAACTCAACAATAAATGAATAATATATTTCTAAAGACAAAAAAAATGTGGCATTTTCATCCAGTACTTATTCAACAAAAAGTCTTTATTGTGCATATTTTGTGATGA